TCTCCTGCCTCCGCCTCCCAAGTAGCTGGGACCACAGGCGCCCGCCACAACGCCCGGCTATTTTTTGGTTGCAGCCGTCATTGTTGTTTGGCAGGTCTGGGCTGGGGATTCGAACCCGCCACCTTAGGTGTACGTGGCTGGCGCCTTAGCCGGTTGAGCTATAGGTGCCGGGCCATAGATTTTTATTTTTAATAATGTAACTTCAGGCTTAGTGCCATAGCACAGTGGTTATACACCGAGGTTGGCAGGTTTGAACCCGGCCCGGGGTCAGCTAAACAACGACAACTGCAACAAAAAATAGCTGGGTATTGTGTTGGGCACCTATAGTCCCAGCTACTTGTGAGGCTGAGGCAAGAGAATTGCTTAAGCCCAAGAGTTAGAGGTTGCTGTGAGCTGTGACCCTAGGGCACACTACCCAGAGTGACAAAGTGAGTCTCTGTCTCAAAAAAAAAAAAAAAAAATTAAATGAAACACACTACAGAAAATGTGGAAAATATAGAAAGTATAAGAGCTTGTCACCCAGAAAATCCTCGCCCATTCTCAAATACTTGTCAAAGTTATCTTTCCACTTTTAGTGACTATAAAGGCATTCAGGCTTTTTCCATACACTTGCGCGTATACTGTCTACTTTCCGCTTTGTTCTATGAAGTTGGGAAAATTCTGTTTCCTGAGGACAGTTGCCCATCCTGTTCTATTGTAGCCACAGCCTTTGGCACAGTGCCCAGTAATGGTGGCTGCTTCGTGACCTGATTGATGGACAGGCTGAACAAAGAGATTGCTGTTTGCAGAGTCCCATCTTCCCTGGGGCAGTCCCCTGTGCCTGACAACATTGACTTTAGGGGGCAAGTTTGCTACATGTCACCATGTTCTATGGCTTTACTGCCAGAAGCTGCCCCCTCCTATGTGGGGCTTCACCAGACTGGGAGCAGGGCCCAGGTTTGCTCTGAAGCAGCTCCTTCTCCTCCCTACTCAGGATACGGAGATCCTGGGATTGAGTGCCGTAAGCAGCTGCAGGAGTTAAGCCAGCAGCAGACTGGGGACCAAAGCCCTGCCCAGTGTTTGCTTCCGGAAATGGAAAATTTGAGGCGCACTTACTTCACACTCCTAACCCCTTACAGAACACCTGGTGTGATGGAGGGTAAGGATTCCTGTTGGGGTGAGAAGCGTGCAGGGAGAGGGAGGCCATTTCCATGTTACATGTACAACAGTTTATGCCATGAACTTTTATGGGAACGCAGAACCTCTGATATCTACCTCTGCTCAAGAACACAGATACTTTTTCCCTTCTGGAAAATTTATTCCCCAAAGCCAACTGCTCACATTCAGAGTCCATGACAAGATTATGTTTTTCTCTGCAGAACTAGCCCTGAGCTGAAGCTTGAAGAGGTAGACAGGTGTTGCTGGGGTGGGGTGTACAGGGCTGACAGTGTCAGTCCACACCTGACAGCTTAGCTCCCTGGCAGTACCCACTCTAGTGATGGACTTGTGCTCCTGGCCAGGCTTTCAGGGCCAACAGGGCAGGGCCACTTGTCTCATTCACTGTCATGGCTGACTCCCAGCATGGTGGCTGGTATCCAGAATTACCTGGGAAGGTGTGGAGGGGCTCAAAGGCCAAGGCCCACAGTTTAGTGCAGTGTTCCCATGACCTTGGCTAAGATTTCAGCGGGCAAGGTTAAGATGGCACAGTATGGCATGACATTTTCCCAAGGTCACAGCTGCAGAGTTGAAAGAAAGAATGATCACTTGGCTTTGATTTTGATGCCACCAAAATCAGGGGCAAGCAGATCCCTGAAGCAACAAATTCCACAACCAGCAGGCCACTGCTTGCTCAGGGAAGGCACTGTGCTCACTCGAAATGAGTTGTCAGGTGATCCAGCTGCCCTGTTCCCAGGGCATGCCCATGACAAGGCACAAAGGACACTGAAGCTCTTGGGACTCTCTAGTGTATCAACAGGATTGGAAAATTCTTTGTAATATGGAGACTTCCATCATAGAAGCATTTGCTTTAATAGGATCACCTCAGAACCAAGAGGATTAAAGGATCCCACCTCCTCGCCAGTTTTGTTGTTAGAAAGATAGTGATTTTGATACAAAATAGGAAGAAACTACAGAATCACAGGAGTCATAATCCGTACAAGACCATGTGTGAGTACTGACTGCTGACTGCTACAGACATCTCAGCTCATCCTGTGGCGCCTCATCCCCGCTCTTCAGCCTTGGGAGACTTGGTCCTTCATGGGCTGAGCACTGGGCTCAACCAGGTCTCCAGACTCCTGACCACGAGGTGCCAGTACTTCCTATCACCCGATCCTTGTGTCCAGGTCTAACGTGACAGCCCCCAAGGAACGGGACCAAATATTCCTTTTGCCAACTGAGGGGGCAGTAGAATGACAATGGCTAAAGGCATGGCCTCTGGGACCAGATGGTGTGGGTTCAGACCCCAGCTATCCTGCTGCCGTGTGTGGACCCTGCTCCAATTCCTCAGCCTGAGACCACCTGCTCGCCTGCAGAGTAACAGCAGGTAACTGCTGCTGTGTAGATTTCTTCTAAGTGCCACACACTCCCAACTTTCTCCTGCAGGAACCTGTTTAATCAAGACGACAGGCTCTCACTCTAGGAGTGATGGAGATGGATAAATGGAAGTATCTGAGCAGTGGGCAGGCAAAAAGCACAGCCTGAACTCAGAAGCCGCCAGTGTGTGTGAGAGCGGGACTCGCTCGGCTTGGCTCCCTGCTGTGTTTTCACGGACTGGGCACCAGCTACCCCTGTGGAGAAGACCAAAGTGCAGTCTGTGCAGATGCCTGTGCTCCTCAGGGGCATAGCAGCAGCCAGTCAGGGGACTTCCGAGACAGAGGTCTCTGAGTCCTATAGCGTTGGGGACACAGCGCTACCTCCATTCTGGAGCCTCCGGGCCTGCTGGTCCTCCTCTATGAGGTCAGCCACCAGGTTCATGCGGCATACCCTGAGCGCCTCCACCAGGCAGGCCACCGTCGCTGCCTCCTTCTCTGTGTTCTTCCAGACTCTCAGGGACTCCCTCACCCGTTCCATCAGGTTGCGGGGATATCTCTCCTCGATGCCATCCATCTTGGCGTCAGAGACTTTAAGCTGACGAGCCAGCCTTTTCCAGTCCTTTCCTACATTGTCACATATGATGTCAAATGCTGCACGCAGGTCTGGGGTTGGGAAAGAAAGAAAAAAACAGCTTACCAGAAGTTTGGGGAGCTCTTTAGACAAGAAACCCTAGAGCCCCTTACAGGCTTTTCAGTGCTGACCTGAGTATTGGTAGATGGAAGTATCCCCATGAGGTCCTCTGCAAAGGCTAGTCAGCCACCAGCAAAGGGGATGTCACAGAGTGGCCTCTAATCCTGCCCCAGCCAGGCCCTCAATCTAAGAGGTGTGGCCCACTTACGACTCTATTGAGGGGTGGCTTGGTGCCTATAGCTCAAGTGGCTAAGGTGCCAGCCACATACACCAGAGCTGGCGGGTTCAAATCCAGCCCAGGCCTGCCAAACAACGACAACTCTAACCAATAAGGAGCAGGGGGTTATGGTGGGTGCCTGTAGTCCCAACTACTTGGGAGGCTGAGGCAAAAGAATCACGTAAGTGCAGGAGTTGGAGGTTGTTGTGAGCTGTGATGTCACAGTACTCTACCCAGGGGGACAGGTTGTAACTCTGTCTCAAAAAAAAAAAAAAAAAAAAAAA